TGTCTTGTAAGACTGTAGTGTGTCTTGTAAGACTGTAGTGTGTCTTGTAAGACTGTTGTGTGTCTTGTAAGACAGTAGTATGTCTTGTAAGACTGTAGTGTGTCTTGTAAGACTACAGTGTGTCTTGTAAGACTGTAGTGTGTATTGTAAGACTGTAGTGTGCCTTGTAAGACTGTAGTGTGTCTTGTAAGACTGTAGTGTGTCTTGTAAGACCGTAGTGTGTCTTGTGAGACGGTAGTGTGTCTTGTAAGACTGTAGTATATCTTGTAAGACTGTAGTGTGTCTTGTAAGACTGTAGAGTGTCTTGTAAGACTGTAGTGTGTCTTGTAAGACTGTAGTGAGTTTTGTAAGACGGTAGTGTGTCTTGTAAGAATGTAGTGTGTCTTGTAAGACTGTAGTGTGTCTTGTTAGACTGTAGTGTGTCTTGTAAGACTGTAGTGTGTCTTGTAAGACTACAGTGTGTCTTGAAAGACTGTAGTGTGTCTTATTAGATTACACTGTGTCTTGTAAGACTAGTGTGTTTCTTGTAAGACGGCAGTTTGTCTTGTAAGACTGTACTGTGTCTTGTAAGACTGTAGTGCATCTTGTAAGACTGTAGTGTGTCTTGTAAGGCAGAAGTGTGTCTTGTAAGACGGTAGTGTGTCTTGTAAGACTGTAGTATATCTTGTTAGACTGTAGTGTGTCTTGTAAGACTGTAGTGTGTCTTGCAAGACTGTATTGTGTCTTGCAAGACTGTAGTGTGTCTTGCAAGACTGAAGTGTGTCTTGTAAGACTGTAGTGTGTCTTGTAAGACTACAGTGTATCTTGTAAGATTGTAGTGTGTCTTGTAAGACTGTAGTGTGTCTATTAAGACTGTAGTGTGTCTTGTAAGGCTGTAGTGTCTTGTAAGACTTTAGTGTGTCTTGAAAGACTGTAGTGTGTCTTGTAAGACTGTAGTGTGTCTTGTAAGACTGTAGTGTGTCTTGTAAGACTGTAGTGTGTCTTGTAAGACTGTAGTGTGTCTTGTAAGACCGTAGTGTTTCTTGTAAGACTGTAGTGTGTCTTGTACGACTGTAGTGTGTCTTGTAAGACTGTAGTTTGTCTTGTAAGACTACAGTGTCTTGTAAGACTGCAGTGTGTCTTGTAAGACTGTAGTGTGTCTTGTAAGACTGTAGTGTGTCTTGTAAGACTGTAGTGTGTCTTGTAAGACTACAGTGTGTCTTGTAAGACTATAACGTGTCTTGTAAGACTGTAGTGTGTCTTGTAAGACTGTATTGTGTCTTGTAAGACTGTAGTGTGCATTGCAAGAATGTAGTGTGTCTTGTAAGACGGTAGTGTGTCTTGTAAGACTGTAGTGTGTCATGTAAGACTGTAGTGTATCTTGTAAGACTGTAGTGTGTCTTGTAAGACTGTAGTGTGTCTTGTAAGACTGTAGTGTGTCTTGCAAGACTACAGTGTGTCTTGAACTACAGTGTGTCTTGAAAGACTGTAGTGTGTCTTGTAAGACTGTAGTGTGTCTTGTAAGACTGTAGTGTGTCTTGTAAGACTGTAGTGTGTCTTGTAAGACTGTAGTATGTCTCGTAAGACTGTAGTATGTCTTGTAAGACTGTAGAATGTCTTGTAAGACTCTAGTGCTTCTTGTAAGATTGTAGTATGTCTTGTAAGACTGTAGTGTGTCTTGTAAGACTGTAGTTTGTCTTGAAAGACTGTAGATGTCTTGTA